TGGATTTACTGGTATCAATAATAATAGTATTTGTGTGGTGTTTTTGCAAACCCTAATAACTTTTTTATTTATAATTAAAAATATAGATAAAACTTTTAACAAATGCAGGCAATAGGCTTTTCACTTGTAATGGTAATTCATGAGCCTTAATTAGTACTTTCCCAAGGGATCAAAATGGCAGAAATACATATGAATAGATTTTATAACTTTCAATTGTCATTAAAATAAGTAAATGATACAGATTTCAATAAAATAAAAAAACCAATTATTAACTATTAAATATGTAAGATTCAAAAAAAATTATATAAAAATTTTTACTAAATTCGTCCTACTTTCCTAATGGATGGAAATGGCATAAATACATGTGAATGAATGCATTGGGAATTGGAATATAAGTGACCCCTTTTTTTTGGTTGTTGCGTTGAAGTGTTCAACACAACACCTCACTTGGCTTATCCTCTCCTCTACCCTGCGGTGGTATAACTGCAGCCTCTCCCTCTTCCCCTTCTCCCTTTGAATTCCTTCTCTCTCTTTCCCTTACCATTTTCCTTCCACAAATCCAAGCTTTAATCTCTCTCTTTTTCCTTTCAATCCAAGCAGAGGAAACAAATGCGCATGCTTCTGTAATCCCACCTACTCTGTTCCTTCAGCTAGAATTTCTCAGAGTTGTTGTCCTTGTACTTCTCAGTGTCTCAGCAGGTAAGAGATGGCTGCCTTCAGAAGAATCACTAGAAATGCTTGAACCGAACCGTGCTCTGAGTCCCCAGCGGGGCAACTCAGCATTGTCCTTAATTAAGCACCGTGCCTCATTGGCTCCTTTTGTTTGTGTTCATTAGTTATTTGTTACCAATTTAGCAAACAAAAATGGTGCATATATATATATATATGCATATATGGACAAGAGTCAGATATTACTAACTAATACAGTCCATTATGCACTGACGCGTAATAAGCTTTTAATTGAAACGGTTCTTAAGATGATTGTTTCTCCCTTTTCAGAAAATTTTGAAGATGAGAGTTGCAGTGGTTGGAGCTGGGATTAGTGGGTTGGTTTCAGCTTATGTTCTAGCAAAAGCCGGCGTCGGTGTTGTCCTGTACGAGAAGGAGGAATACCTGGGAGGTCATGCTAAGACTCTGACTTTTGATGCTGTTGATTTGGACCTCGGTTTCATGGTCTTCAATCGGGTAAGTTCTTGGTTTTCTCTTTTAATTTTTCTTTTTCCATTATTGTTTTAATTACCTAATTTGCAATTGTGAAACTTTGCATATGATCTTTAATTTCTTTGTGTCTTTTATGCCTTTTTCCATTATTGTATTAAAATAACCCCTTTTTTTTTAGAGTTTTAAAGTAATTTCTTAAAACACTTTTTAATTTTGTTAAAAGTAAATTTAGAAATGTTATCTTTATAAAGTTATTTAAGTTTTTTTAAAAGTTAATTTTTAAATTCCTCCAACAAATTTTTAAATACTTCTATCACAAGTCTTTCTCCAACAAAAATTGCTTAAAAGTGCCCTTAAAGTGTTTTTTAAATATTTCTAAACACCCTCAATTATTGTCTTGCAATGAAAGCTCGGTTTCTTTATTGGTAAAAAAATTGAGATGTTATACGGGGAATGATATGACACATTTTCATGTAATTTTTTTTATAATTTTTATATGTTATTAAATAAATATATATAATATTATAAATTTAGATAATAAAAAAATCAATTAAATATATAAAATTATATGAAAAATCTGTTGTAAAAAATTGTTTCTCAATCTTCTTTATATTATATATTGTCTTTATTTTTAAGGATTTCTTTAGGATCCTAATTCTTGAAGCAATCCTAAAACTTGTTATAAAATCACGAATTATATTAACCTTAACATATTTTAAGTGCAATTTATGTTTTCTTAGTATGCAAAAACAAAAGCTGTTGAGGAAATACAAAATAAGGACAATACTTTGCCTCCTTTCTTTTTGCTTTTTCTTTTGTTAATTTGTAATTTAAGATAAACTCTACCTGCTTCTTCTGCCTCAACATCATCTATAATTAAAAAGATCAGGACTGACCCAGATAATAACTTTTAAGACCTTGGATGAATTA